GCCCCCCCCTCGAGCGCAGCCAGTACAGCGCTGTAAAGCGCCAGTGTAATCAGAGCCTGCCGTGCTGTACGCTCCCTCGCAGCGCTGCAAGCTACTCCCCTCGGAGAGGTGGAGTACATACAGTGCTGCGAGACCTCTCTCGCAGCGCTGGCGGTGCGACTACACTCGCGCTTCACAGCGCTGCCATGGCAGCGCTGTGAAGTCCCAAGTGTAGCCAAGGACTGAGGTGTCCAATTCTGCAGATGCTGGCTCCAGCTTGTTGTGCCATAAACTAATATGAAGTATTCTTTAGTTGCAGCTGTACATGCTCATCTTGCAAATTTTAAGTATCAGCAGTATGGACTCATTTACTGAAATTTTATAACAATGTAATGAAATAACAAAGTTTACTCTCCCCAGTCATCCTTTCCTCAATCCATGACTACCTGCCCTCCACTATCCTCAGAGTATAGAATAATTGGTTCAGATACATGAAATTTTAATTATTTAGTTTTTATTGTTTATAAGTTTCTCTTTACATTATTATTGGTATTTTGGCACAGACTAATTGCCTTAATGAGGACTGTGTTGCGAGTGCAATTTTCTGTGTGTATGTACAGTACCTAGCACAATGGATCCTGTGATCCATGATTGGGGCCTCTCGATACTATTACAATACATATATTTAATAATAAATAATAATAAATAACAATAGTAATATAAAGAAAATTTTAGAAACAATTCTAATAGAAACTACTAAATAATTAAATTTTTAAAAATCAAATACTCCAGCAGTTTAGTTTTATACATACAAGTTTTTATCATTAATGAGCTACTTTACAAATGCCTTTTTTGAATATTTGTATAATCTGAAAATCGACATTGCATAATGTTCTAAAATCCATTAGTGCAGCTTATTTATTTAATGAAAATGTTTTTCTTACCCTTGCTAGGTCATGCCATCTGGTCTGTGCTTTGATAACAAGATAGTAATGAGCCTGATCACAAGCTAGTTCTGCATCCGTTACTGTCTGTTTTGGTCTCAGAAAGAAAAATAAAATAATAACTAACTGTGTTTTACACTTAATGGAATCTTTAATCTCTCACAAGTTTGTGGAGGTTTTTTTGTTTTTTTGTTTTAGTTTCTAAGAAACCCTTAAAGACTGTCATTTCACATCTGTGTAAACTTAATTCTTTAAATACTGCCTTATTTCCCCAGCTGCAAGTTAGGGAAGACATCTTAAATTTTTGTAATTCCCTGTTTATTTTCAGATCAATGTTGTTCAACTTGCCTGCAGACTTAATAGCAAACACGGATCATTTATCCAGCCAGAAGGAAATGTTAACTATCTTAGAAACAAAAACAATTTAGTAACATATCACAAGACCTGGAGTGACTCCAATAAAGGTATTCCTGATTTACTTCATTAATTTAGATCAGAACCTGGCCCACTGAATCTACAAAGTTGGTAGCTTTAGAGAGACAGACTTATATAACGTTCTAGTCCACATCACTGGTAACTGGATTTCCATTATGCGAAACTACTGACCAATTAAATGATATAAAGAGTTAACTGGAAAAGTTTCAACGTATTTTCACCTCTTCTCCAATGAGGCTGTGTCAACAGTTAGACTTTTTATAACTGGCATTTTAAAATAGTAATATCATATGATATATGATGATACCCAGTTGCTGGAGGAAAGTGGTATCGCTCTCCATTGCTAATCAATAATTGTTGCTACTCTGTTGAAAACAAGAGCATCTTTTAGCTACACTCAACATATTGCAGTGCTGACATGAAATGAGAGGAAAACATTAATTTGTCATGAGTTCTACTGTTACTAGAATCCCAGTAATGAACCCTAGAATCCCTCTTCCCTTTTCAAATGGTGTCCTTGATTTTCCCAGTTGTACAATTAAGAAAAAAAGTGGGAGATAAATATTAGTAATGTCAGAACCATCAGTAACTATATAGAAGACAAATTAAAACTGGGAAGTAAGCCTAAGTGTATATCGTATCTTTGAAATCCACAGCAGAGCTGACTTGCTGATCAGAAGATTTTTTGGTTCTGCTCTGTCTTGTCATTACTTTTATTAATTTATCTCTGTTTGTGTAGCTAAATGGATGGATTTTTTTCACACTGAATACTAAGGCCTGGTCTACAGTATGAGTTTAATTCGAATGTAGCAGCGTTAAATCGAATTAGCCCTGCACCCGTCCAGACAATGAAGCCATTTATTTCGAAATAAAGGGCTCTTAAAATCGATTTCTGTACTCCTCCCCGATGAGCGGAGTAGTGCCAAAATCGATATTGTCATTTCGAATTAGGGTTAGTGTGGCTGCAATTCGATGGTATTGGCCTCCGGGCGCTATCCCACAGTGCACCATTGTGACAGCTCTGGACAGCAATCTGAACTCGGATGCACTGGCCAGGTAGACAAGAAAAGCCCTGCGAACATTTGAATTTCATTTCCTGTTTGCCCAGCACAGGAGAGCATAGGTGACCACAGAGAGCTCATCAGCACAGATAAACTTGCAGGCCGATAATCGAAAAAGAGCACCAGCATGGACCGTACAGGAGGTACTGGATCTGATCGCTATATGGGGAGAGGATTCAGTGCTAGCAGAACTTCGTTCGAAAAGACGAAATGCCAAAACTTTTGAAAAAATCTCCAGGGGCATGATGGAGAGAGGCCACAATAGGAACTCAGAGCAGTGCCGCATGAAAGTCAAGGAGCTCAGAGAAGCCTATCAGAAAACAAAGGAGGCAAACGGTCGCTCCGGGTCAGAGCCGCAGACATGCCGCTTCTACGCTGAGCTGCATGCAATTCTAGGGGGGGCCGCCACCACTACCCCACCTCTGACCGTGGATTCCGACGCGGGGGTAATCTCATCAACCACACCTGAGGATTCTGCGGACAGGAAAGAGGAGGAGGAGAAGGAGGACGACAAGCTTGCAGAGAGCACACAGCACTCCATTCTCCCCAACAGCCAGGATTTTTTTCTCAGCCTGACTGAAGTACCCTCCCAAGCTTCCCAAGCCAGTACCCAAGACCATGACCCCATGGAAGGGACCTCAGGTGAGTTTATCTTTTAAAATATAAAACATGGTTTAAAAGCAAGCGTTTTTTAATGATTACTTTGCCCTGGGGACTTGGGATGCATTCGCGGCCAGTACAGCTACTGGAAAAGTCTGTTAACGTGTCTGGGGATAGAGCGGAAATCCTCCAGGGACATCTCCATGAAGCTCTCCTGGAGGTACTCTAAAAGCCTTTGCAGAAGGTTTCTGGGCAGTGCAGCCTTATTCCGTCCTCCATGGTAGGACACTTGTCCACGCCATGCTAGTAGCAAGTAATCTGGTATCATTGCATGACAAAGCCTGGCAGCGTATGGTCCT